TTTTTTTTTTTTTTTTTAAAGGTAAGCTATATTCTTCTCTTATCTATCTCATTTTTCTTGATAGTACGCATCTATCTCATCCTCTCACTATTCTATAAATAATATGGGGGAGCACCAACCAACCCGGATCCCTCCCTAGCCCGCAGGGTAGGTTGGCAGCAAAAGTGATTACTAGCACAGATCGAGACTCCAAGGTCCCTACTCGTTCGTTCAACCGAAAGGTACCATTGCCTCTCTCCGGACGTTCCCTTCACACAAAATGCTATACCATTGGGTCATGGTGAAAGAGAGGGTGTGGTGTGTTACACACTCTGATTGTATTCTCTTTGTGAAGAATGAGGCCCAGTACATGTGTGAACCGGGGACACACCAGAAGAAGATCATGGGTCTAAGACTCATGGACGAAGTGGCCTTCTTTGTCCAATTTCTATGAGAGAAGACAGACACCACATGCCAAGCAAGGGACATCCTCGAAAAACTGAAGGGATGTTACCCACTCTCTCCTTGGAATAGATGGATGATGAAGGCGGGACAATATCTTTCTTGGGATGTAAGATCTTTGTTGACCAGGAAGGACCGAAGATCGCATCAGTTCTGCAGATAAAGAACCAAGAATGTTTGTGCAAGGACTGATCGCTAGTTGTGCAGTGCATCAAGGATTTCAAGTCCTATAGTGACAAACAGATCAAGGTCTCCATGATTACAAGCTATCTGCATCAAATCATGAGATGTTCGAATGATGCAACCTTAAGAGCTCTACCAGTGGCTTGCATGAGGAAAGAACTTTGAACGAGATACTACCCAAGACCTGTAATTAACAAAGCCATGCGGTCGTTTGAATGTGAGCAGAAGGTGAAATTTTAGATGGGACCCTCCATGAGCTAATTATGAAGGTAGAAGAGAGAGAGAGAGAGAGAGAGAGAGAGAGAGAGAGAGAGAGAGAGAGAGAGAGAGAGAGAGAGAGAGAGAAAAAAAAAAAAAAACGGCGGACTGAGGGACTCGAGCACGGGACCTGTACTTATGCACGTGGTGATTATTATCTAGTCTTGCCCTATTCTGTGTTTTACTAGCACAACATAATCGGGGTATGACCAGTACCGGTCAGTGATCTGAACAATCAATGTTGCAATGCAGCCCTGAACATACATCATCATCATCGTTACATGGTGTGAATGGGGTCTGGCGCTTCACACAGGAAGACTGCGCCAGCCCATACCATACACAAACGAAGAGGAAGGGGATAGACGAAGAGGAGGGGAAAGATGGAAATGTCATCAATACCAAGTCTTCGGCACAAGCCCAAATAGTCCCTCATCGAAATGTCTGAATCCCAAATGTCAAGTCTGGATCCAATGTCATCAAGTCTCAAGTCACAACTCTGTCTCTCTCTGTCGTAGTCTGAGAAGTCAGGTGGCAAGAGGGTGAGAAGAGAAGGTGGACTTAGAAGAGGAAGAAGGAGAACTCTCTCTCTCTCTTTGTCCAGTACTAACCTGTGAAGTTGGCGCCTTGATGAAGGTACCACGAAGATGGAGCTGGAGCGATGGCGCCACAGGTAAGTACCACTGGCCTCCGCCAGTCTCTCTCCCACTCTACGATCTACCATCTACCAACGCCCAGCGCTGAAGACTACTCTATGGCTATGGTGCCCAGCGCCGAAGACTACAACTAGCGCTACTACCACTTAGCGCTGGAGACTACTGCAGCGCTCCTCCTGAGTGCTGCAGCCGAATCCTGAAGACTAATAGTACCTACTGAAACTACCTACCCGTGAAGTGCCTAGGACAGTCCTATGTACTTCTCGGGTGTGCCTCGTGACTCGTGCGAGCAGTTTAGGAGGCTGCTCTTGCCAATGCCGAAGGCAGGCAGGGGCTGCAGCTGCAGCTCCTGCTCGAGCACGTGAGGAACAGGCTATTATTGGCCTGTTCCGCATCCCTGTTTACGTGCCTGAGTCTTAGGGGCAGGTCGAAACAATGAGGGCTTGAAAATGGCTCTCCGTTTCAGGCTGAAAACTCTCGGTCTGAAAAGACTCGGAAATAGGCTGAAACGCCCTAAGTTTTAGGCTTTTAGGCTGAATGTCCGGGACGGGCCCTGCAGGGCCCGTGTGGCTACGCAGTATGCCACACCCCCCCCTCCTTGAAGAACCGAGCTTACCTGCGAGGGCGAAGCTGTCTGTCTGAGGGAGGGACCACAGTCCGGGTGGGAGGGGCTGGTCGTGAAGCTTCCTAAGCTAACCTCCGCTTTTCATAATGTGCGTAGATCAGTGGTGCGGATGCTTTAAAATCTGCGCGTGAAATCCACCGAGTGTCGTCGCGATCGCATGCTTTGAATGTGACTTTGTACTGCCGCGGCTTGCTGCCGTAGTTAAGATCGGAGATGACGCGGTCAACTTCCTGATGGCCATCCATAGAAGGAGGGTCCTGCGATCGTCGGTCCGGAAAGTCGTCGCTCTTGGCTGGCGTGTATGTTGCCAGCTTCGAGGCGTGGAAGACCGGATGGACCGTCAGAGGCTCTGGAATGTTGATCACAAATGAAGGGTCATTGGGCCCATCGCCCGCGGCTGCTCTCACACACCAAGGTCCAAACCACTTGGGAAGTAGTTTGCATGAAACATCATGTTCCAGTGCAAACTCTTCCGCGGAGACCCAAACCAGATCACCGGCGCGGATGAGACATGGTACGCGACGCCTGTTGSCTTGCTGCTGCATGCGGACTTGAGCCTTTTGCATATTTGCRCGGGCTTGAGTCAGCAATTCCCTGTACTTTCGGACGGAAGCGGGAGAGCAGGCAGCGTCAATATCGGCTGGTCGAGGGAGGAGAAGGTCGGCGAAGATCCGGCCTTTCTGTCCATCGTGGTGCAACTCGAATAGAGTCACACCGATCGCCAGATGCACCGAGTGTTGTAGGCGAACTCGATGTCGGGGAGGCGGTCAACCCAATCTTTTTGGTCTGGATGGATGAGCGTACGAAGCATCATTTGAGCGGTTTGATGTGCCCGTTCCGTCCGCCCGTCTGTCTGAGGATATCGAGTCGGACTTGGTTTCATTGTTGTGCCGGACTCCTGCATGAGAGCAGTCCAAAACGCCGACATGAAACAAGTGCCGAGGTCGCTGACAATGTCTTCAGGTACACCGTGGCCACAAATCCAACCAGTGTGCAGGAGGTGTGCCAGCTCGGGAGCCATGGAGTAGTACTTGCAAGGGAGAAAACGCGCGTACTAACTCAATCGGTTCACAACCGTGAGGATGCCGTCGTGCCCGAGCCAGTTGCGAGGAAACGGACCGGTGACGTCCATGGCAATGGAGAGACCGGGTTCCCGTGGGATAGGCATCGGGTGTAACTCGCCGTAGGGATTGCGGTTGCGGGGCTTGCTGCGTCGGCAAACTTCGCAAGAGTCGCAATACCGAGTGACATCGGTAATGAGGTCGGGCCATCGGAATCGTTGTCGAATGGCCGGCGAGTCATGAATCATGATACTCGCCGAGGAGGCGAGTCCGAAGACGACGGCTGCGTGGGACACATAGTAAGTCCTTGCCTGTCGAGTGGAGGAGCAAGTACCTGTCGGCAATGCGGTAATGGCTGGCCGGCGGGTGATCCGAAGATAGCTGTGCATAGAGCGTGTCGAAGTCCGGATCAGACTGAATTGCCCGTATGAAGTGTCGCTGAAGCTCCTCGTCGAATGCGAAGGCATGATGTGTCATAGCGCAAACATCAGGTCTTCGCGAGAGTGCATCTGCTGCGCGATTGGAGAGGCCGGGGACATGTTTCGGTGTGAAGTCAAATTGGTCGATGAAGTACATCCATCGTCCAATCGTGCTGCTCACCATGTCTTGCGTCTTATAGTAGGTCAATGGATTGTTGTCTGTGACCCATGTGAACTTACGACGCCCAAGGAGGAAGTGCCGCCAACGCTTGAGAGCCATCACGAATGCGAGCAGCTCCTTCTTCCTTGCATCATCAAGCGAGTTGATGGGAGACACTTTCTGGCTGAAATACTCCACAGGGTGTCAGTGTCGCCGTCGTGCTGTTCCAAGACTGCCCCAATGCCATAGCCGGAAGCATCCGTAGTTACTCGCGTCGGTAAGGTGGGGTCATAGATGCTAAGGACGGGTGCCATGAGCATAGCCGTCTTAAGTGTTTGGAATGATCGACGTATGTCGTCATCGAATACGAATGACACCTTTGGCGACTGTAACCTCGTCATAGGTGCAGCAATCCTGGAGTATCCGGTGATGAATCGCTGATAGTAGCCCGCCAACCCCATGAATGAACGAACGTTTGTGGTGTTGGTGGGCTCGGGCCATACTCGTAGGGCCTCGATCTTGTCCACAAGCGGACGGATGCCTTGCGGCGTCACATAGCGTCCCAAGTACTCCAGCTCCTGCTGTGCGAACTCGCACTTGTCACGGTTTGCTTTGTACTTGGCTTGTCGTAGCCACTCCAAAACGGTGCGCAGGTGTTCCACATGCTCGTCCAAACTCCGACTATACACCAAGATGTCATCGAGGTAGATGAGTACAAACCGATCCAGCATGTGTCGGAACTCCGTTGTCATAGCCACTTGGAAAGTGGCTGGGGCATTCGTAAGGCCAAACGGCATGACCAGCGATTCGAAATGCCCATACCGTGTCTTGAACGCAGTCTTGTAGCGATCCTCCTTGCGAACCTGGAGTTGGTGGTACCCTGACTTGAGATCCAGCTTAGAGAAGAACTGGGCGCCGCCCAATCGCTCGAGAAGGTCATTGATGCGTGGGAGAAGGTCGGCGTTCCTGATCGTCTGCGCGTTGAGCTTGCGATAATACATGCACAACCGCAGGTCCTTGTTCTTCTTCCGGACGAAGAGAACAAGAGCACCGTATGGCGATGAGCTAGGCCGAATCCATCCTTTCTCCAGGAGGTCGTCGAGTTGTGCCCGAAGCACACTTAACTCTTCCTCGCTCATTCGGTAGATGCAACCGCGCGGAGGTACGGCCCCGTCCTCGAGGATGATCTCGTGGCGGATGGGTCAATCCGGTACTACTCCGTGCGGGCCTTCGAACACGTCGCTGTAGGCGTCGAGAAGCTCGGTGATGCGTGGATCCGAAGGTGAGTCTGTCGATGAAGCGTCATGGGGTGGGAGGGCGTGGAGAAAACACACCCCCATCTCCTCGATGTCGTCTCCGATGATGGAAGCTCGCATGCTTGCGGCGGATACCACGTGGCAGCTGATCGAAGGACGAGGAAGGGGCACCGTGCATGGAACTAATACTCCGTTCCAATCACGAATGTGAACGGTTCGTTTGAAGAAGTTCACCGTGATCCTCGCTTCGCAGCCGTGACATGCCCAAGATCATGTCAAATTTGGTGTCCAGAATATCAAAGGACACCGCCTCACTTGCGTGAGGGGCAAAGTACACGGGGACGGCGTCAATGCACCGGTCGATTGACTTGCGTGTATGACCGTCTGCCAACGTGACTTGCGTAGGCTGGGACTTCCTCCGGACAGGTGGGCCAAGGCCGGTGCGTACCATGGAGTCCTGGCTGATGTAGTTGCGAGATGCTCCGCAATCGATCAAGGCACTGCAGGTCGCCTCTCCGATCTGAATGCGTACGTATAGCAATGGTGCGTCGATGTCGTCGTACCGTTGCGTCTTGAACTCGCGGTCGATCTTCGCGATGTAAGCGTGAAGGTCGACAACCTCTGCTCCGGCGTCCATCAACGGAGCTGGTACTGCAGTGTGCAAGTAGTCCCGCAATTGTGCCATAAGCACGTTGCAATGCGGTTTCGGTAATCGTCCGGTCGAGGGAACGGGCATCCACTGGAAGTCCGTGAACGTCAACGGGTCGAGCTCTTCAAGTCTTGACCATGACGTCGAATCCCCAACGATAGATTGCGGCGAAGCTGCCGAATCAGTTGTCGATGGTGATGAAACCGTGCATTCGATGGATTGTTGCACGTGGAGCGGTTTGTCGAGCGGTGGAACCAAGTGGACAGCATAGTCCTCGTAAGTGTAACGAGAACTTGCGACATTCGCGTTCTCCCCAGATGTGCAGGAGGCCGCTAGCAAGGCGGCCGAATCTGGCGGAGGTGGAGTCGCCTCACCTTCCGCGGAGCTAAGTTTCCCAAGTTGAGGCGGGGTCGCACATCCTCCTTGCCCTAATCTTGGCAGAGGGAGGTGTTGTGCTTGGTGCTGTTGCACCAATAGCAGCTGCCATAGCGGCCGCGGACCTTAAACTCCGCCTCGGTCAAGCCAAACTTGACCCATGAAACTTGTACTGGCTGTCCATTTCTGGCCTGCGATGCGGATTTCGCCTTCCCATTGTTGCGGGACTTGTTGTTGCTTCGCGGCTGGACAGCAACCACCTATTCTCCGTCACTTGATGCTGAAGTGGCTGCAGGGTTATCTCCACTGTCCTGTTGGACTGCAACGAAGTGCTGATGTCGCGGACCAGTTCGTACCTTCTCCACATAGGTCGGCTGCCATGTTGATCTCTCGTGTGCAGCTGACCTTTTGGTCTTGATGATCTCTCTCACCTTGTCGATAATCTCGGCGAAAGTGGAGTACTGCTCGCGATCACCAAGGGCCTGGCTCAATGCAGCACAGGACCTGTTGTAGGACTCACGTCTAAGATGAGTGAAACGCAGATCCAGATTGGGCACTGCCGCAATCTTCTGCCACTCTGTGAGCCAATCCCGTGTTGCAGTGTTGCCCTGTGACATGGTGAACAAACGGTTGATGGCGAGTGCCGGCGCGTCGTCRACGATGAACCGCTTCTTCCACAGCCGTGTCAGTTCCTCCCATGTGATTTTGTCCTTCAAGTCTGGTACGTCGACGCCATGGGAGGTTGCCAGGTGGCTCAACCAGGTCTGGCATCCGCCTTTTGAGTTTAGGAACAGGGCGCCGATGTACGCATGCTTGGCTACGGGCAGAATCCTGAGTTGCGTTGTGAATGCTTCCCACCAGAGGACCGGATCCTGCTGCGTGTAGTCGTCGAACCTCTCCAGGTTGAAAGTTGGCATCTTGTACATCTTCGGATTGTCGTCCGCGTTCGCCGACTGCAGCTGTTGGACCTCGGTCTTCAATATATGCAGCTGACTGCTGATTGTGGTGGTCGGGGCAGCGAAAGTGTTGATGTCGCCGAGCATTGCCACTACGTGGTCAACGCGGTCCTCCAGTTGGCGGCTAGAGGGTGCACTGCTGGAAGCCCCAGCAGCTGGTCCTGGTACAGCCTGTTCCAGGTCCAGCAATCAGGCATTGAGTGCTCGAGTTGCATTCTCGTGGCTCTGCACTATGCGGCGGAGCTTTGCCAACTCCTGATGCTGTTGCGTCAGGTCCTGGTACTGTCTCTCCAACTCTGACCGTTGGTAGTTGCAAGCGTACAACAACCTTGTCACGAGTTTGGAGAGGAACTCCTTGTGCTTCTCTCCTGGTGTTGCCTCGTCGCCGTTCGGTTCAAAGTGCCTGAACTTGAGTCTGTCGATGCTGTTGGCTTCATGCCGCTGCAGCAGATCCTGGGCTTCCTTGCAGCGAGCCTGGGCATCTGCGTCTGCGTCGGCCTGTAGTCGCAGCTGCTCTGCTGCTGCTGCCTCTTCAGCCTGTACGCGGGCAGACTTGGCTGCCAGCTGGCATTGTTCCTCAGCCTCAATCTGAGCATGGAACCGCTGCTTGTAGGCGGCAAGGGACTCGTTGGGCAGTTGCCCTGGCAGGCCCGTCATGTTGCTGACATGGCACTGGTGCTGTGGCACTGCTGACGTGGCACTGTGTCTGGCGTCACTGCCGACGTGGCATTGAGTCTGACGTCACTGCTGACGTGGCACTGAGTCTGACGTCACTACTGACGTGGCACTGAGTCTGACATCACTGCTGTCGTGGCACTGAGTCTGACGTGGCACTGCTGATCTGGCACAGTGACGTGGCGCTGCTGACGTGGCACTTTACCAAACCGGGATGCATGCAAGGGGTGGGTGGGAGGGAAAACGCAGGTAGCTAACCAACCCAACAATACTTTCCTCCGGCCCTTATCAACAGATAAAATAAAAAAATAAAAAATAAAAGAGGACTACTTCCTTTTTTTTTTTTTTTTTGTATATATCTGTCGATCTATAATGAGTAGGATATGTCAGAAGGGTATTATGAACGAGATCTAGGCTAGGTTCGGCAAAGTTTCGGCTTTTACAACCTGCGATCTTGAAATTTTTTTTTTGCGAAATGGAGTAAAGATGCCATTTTCAGAAAAGAACGAAATCCAGTTTCTGAGAATATAGCAACCTCCAAATATGCCTAACGCAATATTGGTAGGCTTCGCAAGATTCGGTTTTAAAAAAAAAAATTTGCGAGATAGAATGGAAATGCAATTTTCAGAAAAGAATAATTTCAGTTTCCGAGAATATGACCACTTCTATCGTTATCCCAATATGCCTAGAGAACGAAAATACTAACTTCAGAAATTTCAGCTATGTATGCGAAATATCAGAGAAACGAAATGCGATTTATCAGAAATTTTCAGATATTTGCTATGTAAAAACGAACTACCAATATCAGAAATTTTCAGGTAAAACGAAATGCGAATATCAGAACTTTCAGATAGTTGTTGCGAGAAAAAAAATAATTTCAGAGATTTGACTAAGTCCTACTTGCGTTACTAATGAGTGATCAATAGATCGCAAGCTGGCTACTTGATTGAGCGGGTCCTCTGAATGAGAGGTCCGCTCCAATACCAAACTGTTGCATACTGTAACGTGCAGACCAGAACAAGAACCGACCTTTCAATGCAAAGTATAAGATAGCACAACCGAAGGCTTAGATACCAGTGATCCGAAAAATCAATGTTGCAATGCAGCCCTGAACATACATCATCATCATCGTTACATGGTGTGAATGGGGCCTGGCGCTTCACACAGGAAGACTGCACCAGCCCATACCATACACAGACGAAGAGGAAGGG